GGTGTAGGGTTTAGAGACCCTAAACCCTAAACCCTAAACCCTAAACCCTAAACCCTAAACCCACCTGGGTTTAGGGTTTAGGGTTCCCAGGTCTCCAAGTGCACAGATAGAGCCGACATTGGGGGCCGAAAGTCTACAAGCAGTACCTACTTTGGGCTACTTTGGAGCTCAGGGAGAGGGCAGGGTCTTAAAGCCGTCTCCTAAACCCCAAACCCTAAACCCTAAACCCCCTAAACCCTAAACCAGTGAACAGACCCTGGCCATATAAGCCCAAAGTAGTAGGATTCCTATACAGAAGCCCTAATCGTCGCAGGTGAAGACTCGCCTCAGGGTCTGTCTCGTGCTCCAGAAGGCCAGTGTAGGGGTTTCATTAGGGTTGAGGGTTTAGGGTTTAGGGTTTAGGGTTTAGGGTTGTGGGGTCTAGGGTTCCTAAGGCGAGGTCTCTTGATATTTTGGGGTTTAGGGTTTTGGGTTATGGGGTTAAATCATCAAAAGTTGTTTTTTTGAAGGCCGGGTCAGGGGTTTGATTAGGGTTGAGACTGAGGCTTAGGGGCTTAAAGTTCGTTAAGGTTGTGGGGTGTAGGGATCTTGAGGTTAGTCGTGGTTTGCAGTGTTTTGGGGTTAAGGGCTGCGGGCTTTAAGGGTTCGGGTGCCGGGATTTTCGGGTTTATGGTTTGGAGGGGTTCAACGATTTATGTTTGATGGTTTAAGAACTTTATAGATGGTGCTTTCGATATGTGAACCACATGGAACACCGTAATATAGAAGCCTTAATGACCAGTATTATTCCTCTGGAATCCTGGCTTTTGCTTACATCTAAAGGAGCCCAAAACCCCATCCTAATGATTAGGGCCCCTACGGTAGATACGGATATCACCGGGGTTTGTCCGGAACTGGTAAGCATGCCGTGGTAGCCGGAACAAGAGCCCAACTTCTTTCCCCCTCCTAGGGCCCCGAATAGCCCGAAGTAGCTACTATTTATCGTTTTAGACCCCAGAGTAGGTACTATTGGTATACTTGGAGCGAGTCCGCTGCATTTTAGGACGACGATGATGCCGCCATTAGGACTTTTTAAGGTTAGGTTCAGGACAGGGCTTATGAAACTATGTAGAGGTCCGTCGAGATGTCCAGCGGTTTGTAGGGTTTGAGAGTGTGGTTTATGATACGGTCCGGTGTTAAGTTGAGGTTTGCGGGATGACAGCTGTTTAGGCAAGGTTGCGATGCCTCAGGCAAGGACCGATGTCTCAGGCAGAAACTCAGCAGTAGAGGGGGTAACCCTTAATCTGTTTGGGGGTTACGAAAATGCATAGAGACAAATGTACTCAGTAGATATATATAGTAGTTCATATTATACATCTATCTATCTATCTATCTATCTATCTATCTATCTATCTATTCAGCTACTTATCTATATATCTGTCTATCTATCTATCTGTCTATCTGTCTATCTATCTATCTATCCATCTATCTATCTAGCTATCTATCTATCTATCTATCTATCTATATATACATACCTATTCCCAAAGTTTCACCTTTGGTTCTCCTAGGATGCTGGACGAGAGAGCGGATGGGAAGCCTCGTGAGACGTAGGACCAAAAGTACGAGCCTCGAACCGTAGCCTTGGCCTTCAATCGCAATAATCCCGAAGGCTCCATGTAACAAAAGGCTTTAGGGTTTAGGGAACATGGTTCAGGGTTTAGGGTTTAAGGCTCCATGTAACTAAAGGCTTCAGGGTTTAGGGTTTAAGGCTTCATGTAACTACAGGGTTTAGGGTTTAAGGCTCCATGTGCCCAAAGGGTTTAGGATTTAGGGTTTAAGGCTCCATGTAACTACATAATATAGCATATGCTGAGGCCTCGAAGGGGTTTCTATACAGGTACTTCAGGCTATACATGGGTGCATGGAGCCTTTGCCAAAACAGGGGCCTGAAGAATTGCCAACAACAATCCCTAGAGTTCTCCCATATCACATGTATACTGCAATGGCCCAAGACCCTGCTCTAATTGTTGAGGCCACTGTCACAGTTGTGTGCTTCTGAGTTCCGTGTGTAGCGTCTTGCGACGCGTGGCCAGATCCGCTTAGTTAAGATGCGTGACATATGGCTTAGGGCCTTATAGGGTTTGAGGTTATTTTCAACCCTTTCATCTCATAAATCAAAGAAGCAAAACCCCCAACCCTCCTGGTGTCCCAAGTCCGAGGCACAGGGTGTGGCAGTGGCCCGAGCCGCCCTCAGCGCCTGGCACACGACGGCGGTGGCGGAGCGATGTGAGGCAAGGGTCTCAGAGACTCCGCAAATTTCAGAAAGGGTTCTGATCTCTTTGGGGATGGCGAATATAGCATTGTGGGATTTAGGGTAGCTTTTTGGGCCTGCGTCGGGCTCTGAGATTGTTGTCGTTGTCTGTCGTGAAGCGTAATCTCGAAACCCTTCTGAAGTCCCAAATCCTCGGAGAGTTTAGGCCGTAAGCGGCACGAAACCCAAAAGCCATCGAGCCAAGATTATGCAGGCACCATGGCCACTGAGATTTCAGGTCGAATTTCCTTTCTTGGGTTAAAATAGGGGATCCTATGTAGGAATCTATCTCAAGGAAGCGTTAGGGCTCCTAGGGGGTTAGGCTTGGTTTTAGGGTTTCGGGGTTTAGGGTTTAGGGGTTTATGGTTTCGGGGGTTTAGGGGAAAGGGTTTCGGGTTTAGTACAGGGCTATAGGGCCTAGGTGCAGGGTTCAAGGAGTTTTCGTAGAACCTCGGACAGCAGACAATTCCTCTTAGACTCGACTCCCCTTCAGACTTCAACTCCTCCCAAACTCTACGACAATGCGTCAATGTGAAGCTTCACCGCCACACGAAACTGTTTAAAGGGAATGTTGGTAACCGTGAAGCCCGAACACCCCAAACCCAAGCTGAAGTAAATCCTCCCGCACCTTGCTTGGTCGCTTTCCGAGGCGGCTGCAGCCTTGCTCACCGAAGTTGCCATAGACAGAAAGGCACGTTTAGGGCTACAGGGTTTTTCAGGCTTTAGGGGCTTTAGGGTTTAGGGTTCCGGTTTAGGCTTTAGGATGGTTCACGGCTTTATTAGCTTAGGGTTCAGCCTTCGGAGCTTGGGATTGGGAGCTCTTCGGAGCTTGGGATATGTCAGGAGCCCCGAAACTATTTTGGGTTTCCTTATTATAATCATGGTAGATTAGATTTTACCCCAAAACCCTATTCTAATTAAGGCCCCTGTATGAGTGTTTGTGGTTTCATGCTTTTGCCTTCCTGCCCAGAATTTCAGGATAATGGCAGAGGTGCGTGACGTCAACTATAACGGGGTGTATGGAGTCCTTCAAGCATGAGTCTAACGGGGGGAGGCTTCGGATGGCGAGGGAAGAGGCCTGTAAGTTAGCCTCTGCCAACCCCCTGCCGTACTAAACCTTCATAATATAGGGGCTTAAATAATTACCTATACTATTTTGGGGGTTCCTCATTATCGTTATAGTATAACCGAAACCGCATTCCAATTACGAAGGCACCTACATTACTCGAAATCCTAAACCCGCACTCGAAAAGTCCCGACATCCGAGCGAACATTCGAAGCCAAGGAGGATAATATAGAGGCCTTAATAATTAGAATAGGGTTTTGCGGTATAATCTAATCTATTATAATTATAATAAGGAACTCCAATATAGTATCGGTAATTAATTAGGCCCCTACATTAAGGAAGTGAGAGTTTAGGGCTTGGGACGGCGCCTGGCAAAGCAATAGCAGTGCCTGGCAAAGCACAAGACCACAGGCTTTGGGGCAGGCAGCAAAATGGCAACCTTACCGTATGTGGAGATCAACATGACCTCGGAAGATGTGAAGGTAGTATACGGGCCTACATAATTACCAACACTACTTAGGGGGTTCCTTATTATAAGTATAGTATAATGGGCCCCAAAACCCTATTCCAATTCTTAAGGCCTCCATATCACTCGGATGCCAGTTTACGAGTGATGCGGCAACCACAATACCAGTGGCACCACATGGCACCAGCACTGCTGTTGCTTCTTGAGGTTTCTGGCTTTGGAAGAAGAGGACCACACAACCGCGACAAACAGCCATTCGAGGTCGGAGGCTTCAGGTTGATCCCCTCGATTCTCGATTTTCTTAACGTCCTGAAGACGAGCCAGTCGAAAGTTGAACGAAGCTTCACCGCATACCTAGACACTTCCCAAATCCCAAAGGCGAAGAAGACTTAGAGCCACCATGTGGTGGCATAGTCCAAATCCCACACCCCTAGTCCCGAAACCCGCAAATCCCCTACACCTACAGTGTCCAAGCCTTGTTCCCATCGAGCGGAGTTTATAGTTTGCGATCAGAAAACCCTAAACCCTAAACCCTAAACCCTAAACCCTAAACCGACAGGCTGCTCCGGCGACACCGCAGTCAACAGGACAAGATTGATGAAGCGGTTCAGGGTTAAGTCGAGGGTTAATCTTGGACTTTACGTCGAATGCAGAGCTTTGATGTTGTGTGCCTGCGGTCAATTCTTCCTTGTCTTCATGTTGCTGGAGAGGTATTGCTGAGCTTTGATGTTGTGTGCCTGCGGTACGTTATTCCTTGTCTTCATGTTGCTGGAGTGGTATTGGCTCTCGAAAGCATCGACGACTTTCTTCTGACGTCTCCGTGGTCTTCCGCTGTCGCCGTGACCGCGACGTTCCGCGCAGATGTGAGTCATACCTAAAGACCATGGAGAGGAAATGGAAGTGAAGATGGGGTTGTGCTCTTCTGTTGAGGCCACTCTCATCCCGCCTCTCAGACCCTCCATTACCTCGATGGCTTAGTCTTATCAACATATTTCGACCCTGGCACTACCCAGTACGTCCTTGTAAGCCACGGTTCACACGTCAACAGCACTTTTAAAACTTCACATCGGGATGAGCGTGCAAGGGTTTAGGGTTGGTGTAGGGCTGCGAGTAAACCCTAAACTCTGAACACTACAATCAGACATGTCAAGAACAAGAGACCGATAACGACTCTGTGTAAAACCCTGCAGACTTATAATGAGCACGCGAACATCTTGATAATCTACGCCCTTACGTTACCAAGCTTCGCTAGTAAAGCCCAGCTTTCCTTCTGTTCACCATCCCTGCATTGCTGGAGAGCGCACGTGGAGGATGGAACTCACCCGACTCACAAGTTCTCATGATCCTCGAACCCTGTACCCACATAAGACTGCTCTTTCAAAAACACCACGTTGAAATCCAAACTACTCAGTAGTAGTCGTTCTTTCCCGCAAGGAGGCTGCGACAGTCGCGACACCTCGACGATTGGTACGGCACCACTTTCTGGAGCCGGACCCCCGAAGAAGTTTATGGAATCAAGATCTTCAAATAAGATATGGTGCTTCACAGGGTTGCTGAACCATAATGCAAAGAAATTCTCCCTGAGCTATAATGAGTATACAGGCTTAGTGTGATGGTAAGGGTCTATGTCTTTTTCATACTCAAGTGCTGACGGGTGTAACTAGACCCGGGCAGTACTGCAGTGCTTTTTCGGATAGCTCCCGTTCCGCACTGTTACCTGCACCCTAAGTAGCCTACCTTTTTGAGCACATATAAAAGTCACTCATAAAAAGGAACTTTCTGCAAGGGAATCTGGTTGACAGGCTTAGCAGTACTGTTTCGGGCTAGGAATGCGGTTTGGGGTTGTATTAAAGCGTATATGATTCCCATAGGAATTGAGGTTTGTGGTCTGTTGCACTGAAACAAGCTTCGCACAAGCTGCTCTGTTACCGCAACATCTTCATCCATTCAGGATTGTACACGGTTTGGATTGGGCTCTAGTGTGCCCCAGAGGAACCCAATACCCCTCAAAAAAGCAATATACTAGCTAGCGCTAGCTTCAGTCTTAACATTAAGCTCCATGTAATTTCAGGTATATTCCTTCATTCAGGTGTATTGGGCTCTCTGGGGTCAGGCGGGCAAGGTGCAAGGCGTAGTGGCGGAGCACGCTAAACTAATTCCAATCTCGGAAGGCGAAAAGGCAGAACTGAGATTCGGTTTCCACATATGAAACCGTGCACAGCAACTTCAAATGTTATAGACAGCTGGAGGTGCACACGTGCGATGTCAAATGCGCAGGGGTTGCAATCTTTGTTTACGACGGGACCTGCTACTGGCAGCTGATGCAATACTGAAACTGTACTTGCCTCATTTAGCAGGAATGCCGCAGGTGCATGAAAGTTGTGACGATGGTACAGGAGCCCCAGAATGATTCTCAATGTTGCGGCTTGTCGCTCACGGCCCATCCATGGGTAAAGGACGTAAGCTCTTTGAGTTCGTGAAGCAGTGTTTGGGTGCCTTGCATACATTACAAATCGGCTTAGGAAACGGACACACTGATGCAGATATGACCATCGCCTTGTAGAGTTGGAGATGTAACATCGGTTATTTGATTCCCGCCGAAGAGAGAGTAGAAGAGATAGCATCGAGCCAACCAGTGCCGACTTTCACATCACATTTGCTCTCGGCTCTGCCTTGCGACATGTTGGGAAACATGTGGATGCAGCAGTGGCCAGCATTCAAACTAAATTCTAGCGATTCTAGCATGACAAAAAGCCCGGATGCCAACACCCTTAAAACGCGGTTCTTCTGCCCGCGTTCGAAGGTGTACGCGCCTGGCAAAGCGGCTTATAGTCCATGGTTCCTTCAGCATCAGAACACATGACACTGCCGGTACCAATCCGGTGATATTTATTGCCGAATGCCATGAGCTGATGCAGTTTCCCTCTTCTAAACACACAAAACCCGACCAAACCTGAAGAACTATTCATCTGCAGGTGCAATGGCTAGGCGTCTCAAGCAGAACGCATCGACCCCCTAGAAGTTCAGTTGCCCGCCGTTCATAAATTTTGACGAACTTGCTACGCTCAAGCTTAGGAGCTCATGTCCTTGTCACGCGAAACGAAACCCTAAACCCTAAAACCCAGGTGCTTCGAACCCGAGATGCAGAGGTGATCCCCGAAACCGTGGATGCGCCTGCGACTCGGTGCTTGGACCTGTTCCACTGAGCCGGGTCGCGGGTTCAAGGGTTTAGGGTTCCGGGTGTGGAAGTTAGGACGGTTCAGCTACGGTAACGGGTGCATGGTCGTGAACTTGTGCAGCCTAAGAAGGCCTTGGGATTTGAATTTTTCGGACATCATACAGCTTTATATGGCATTGCGCCAGGATTGGGTGCGCGTCTGTGTTTTGCACGAGCTTTCTGGATTCCGAACAGTGTTCATTGATTACAGTGCATCTGCTGAATAAGACATGCCAGCTCCCGGCGTTGGGTGCCCTTCATTTCTTGGCTAGAAGGCCTTTTAGATTTGGGGCCTTTCGGTGCTATCCAACTGAGGTAGCCCCTACATTTCTTATCCAACTATTTCTTGTGCACTGATTGCACTGTAGCCGCTAATCACTCGCGGCAATATTTCATGCTAGGTCTCGGTGCTTGGAATTCATATTTATGTCGGTAGGTTAGGTGTTTAGTGTAGGGATGTTTGGCTTTGCAATCAGGTTCTTTTCAAATTCATGTTTCAGGAATGCCCTGCCGGGACGTGCATCGTCTGGTCGGGGTTCTAGTAGACTTCTTTTTTCGAGGGCTGCAGACTGCTGAAAACTCAACAAGTCACAACCAGAAACCAAAGGCATCCCTAAACCCCTAAACCCCAAAATCCGAAACACTAAACCCTGACCCGTAAGCCCTAAAGCCTAGATGGGTTCTTGATCCAGAAGTTCAGGAAGCAGAACGGGTTTTAGATGTCTTGGCTGAACTACTTTTTCAGTGTAGACTTCTGGATTCGAGGCTCATAGCTTCCTGTGTTGCTTCCAGGACCTCTCGGGCATCCACGCAGCCTTTAGAGGCGCTGGTGCCCAAGGTGTCGGCCAACGGTGGCCACCTTAGAGGCCCACTAGTCAAGGGTTTCATATAGGACCCTGATTAAGAAACCTTGGGTCTTTTTTTAGGGCTCTTTCTATGGATCCTACTATTTTATGGGTTTTAGGATTAAGAAACCTTGAGTCTTTTTGAGGGCTCTTTCTATGGATCCTACTATTTATGGGCTTTAGGACCAGGGTTTCTTCATCAGGTTCCTAGATCATGTTGGAAACTGCCTCCACTCAGTAGTGGAACAGTTGAAACATGTTTACGACACGGACACATGGGAGTTTCCGAAAATAGGGGTGCCTTATTTTGGGAGTCCTTATAATAAGGGTCCTACTATATTAGGGTCCCCTATTTTCGGAAACTCCCACATGAGGCCCTTCTCCGTACGCGTATTACGGACTGTTACTGTATGGGGGCAGTACCCGAGGTTTACATGTTCTTGGTCCAAGGGGTTGGGCGTAGGGCTGTGGAGTCGAGGGGTTTGGGCTTGTGCTTATAATTATAGTTTCTAGATTTAGGGTTCAGGGCTTAGGGGGTTTAGGATCGGGGATGCGTCCACTTAGGTTTGTCGCCCCACAGGAGGAAGCCTGCTCCCATGTTGCCTAAACCGAAAATCTGCTAAACGCTTACTAAACCTTAGTTGAGCCCGCAATTAGACTCAAAGGGTTTCCTTTGGAATTATGGCTTGTGTTGAAACTAGGACAGTACTCTTAGAGATTATTGGAATATATTTCTAAAAGGTTCTAAGGGCTTTGACGAGTAAGCTTTAGGCTTCTGGATCTTCGATGCAGCTTTGGGCATTTAGGTCTAGGGTTTTGGGGCTGCTTGGGATTCAGGGTTCAGGGTTTAGGGTTTTGGGCTCTTTGGGGTCTGGGAGACCTAGACCCTATAAACCCTATAAATCCTAAAAACCCTATAAGCCCTATGCACTCTAAACCCTATACACCCAAAACCCTATAAACCCCAAACCCTAAACCCCAAACTTGCGCGCTGGGGTTGATTGGATGCCCGCCCTGAGGCTGGCGAACAGATCCGTCAGAGCTTTTTCCTGTTTAGCGGTTCGGGCTTCACGGTTTAGGGTTTGGGGAGTTTAGGGCTTAAGGAGTTTAGGGTTTTGGGTTTAAGCTTCGGTGTTTAGGGTTGAGGGCTTGGGGTTTAAGGTTCAAGGTTTAGTGGGGTAGTGTGTGCAGCCTAGAGCTTTAAGGGTCAAACCTTGACAGGCAGATGCCCCGTTTAAGCTTTGGATCAGTTCATTACCATGCAGATGCCTGATCACCTGCTCTTTCAGTCATGTTGTGAGTTGTTGCCTGATTCCAGACATGGCAATGAAAGACCATGGAACCATGGCAGTCATGAGCACTGGGCTGAGGTTAGGCATTTGGTCAAAACGGCTGATGTTTTTCAGAAGAAGTTCGAGACGGCGAGGCTGAGTAGATGGCACAACTTGCCTGCCAAAGCTTCTTGACTGTTCAGAATGGCTGGGCCGCTCTTCTTCGCCATGATGGTCTACAGCTTTTCTGAGCAGTGGTACCGGTCAATTTATGAAACACCACTTGGAGGGAAATCCTTCACGAGTCTCATGGAGCAGGACACAGGGCAGATTTGGTAGGTTAGAATGAAACAGTTTCCCGATAGTTTCGCTGACACAAGCAACTCTACCCCAGTCCGGTTATTTCTCCAATCCATATTCTGTCCCCCTCCTCAAGCCAAAAGCAATTTTTCCCAATCCGTTTTTTTTGTAAACTCCTTTGAACTTACTCAAACTCTAGGTGCACAACACCGACAAGCTTGTCAACATCTAGGAACTTCAGTACACCATCCTTCGCCCCAGGGCACAGAGCTTGCGAAAAGTCATACACCAGGACACTCCAGACCCTCAGCCCTAAACCCCCAAACCCTAAATCCTTAACCCCTAAACAATGTGCCGGTGATTCCTTAGGGTTCCTTGATTTCGTTGTCGCATAATATACCGCAATATACACCAAAACCCTATTGCAAATATTAAGGCCCCTAGAGTCCCTAGAGCAGCGCAGGCGATTCTACACCTCCACCTCCTCCACCCCCACAGCGAGGACCAGGACTCTGCACCGGGAGGGTTCGGGTGCAAAGGAGTCACAGTAGAAGCCATAAAGTTGGAACATCATAAGCCTCATGCCCTCAAGCTAAGGGGTAAGGGATCCTAGCACCAATCATCCTAAATCCACGTTCCAACTTTCTGAGGTTCACCATAGGAGTTCCAGGTGCGCTGCGGGTTTTGCAACCTTTAGGCTGAATCGTGTCGGCCCGCAGCCCTCCAATATCCTCCACGCACTCCCCCAAAGCCAAAACCCTAAAAGGCCCTAAACCCCAAACCGGCCTAAACCCTACAAACCCTAAGCCTCTAAACCCCAAACCTCCCTAAACCCTAAAGCCTTTCGTGATTTTCTGGCAACCCTGAACCTGAAGCTCCAAGGAGCCGAGCAGTTTCGGACTCACCTCAAAGCCTTAAGACCTTATAAAACCTAAGTCCTAAAACCCAAACCCTAAATCTCAAAACCCTAAACCTAAAGCCTGAAGCTCTAGAAAGCTAAAGCCTTCAACCCTGATAAATCCATACGAACCCAAAACCTCAAAACCCTAACCCTGACCCGTTGAACTCTAAACCAAAAGCCCTGAACCTTAAACTGTTCGACACGGTGAACTTTTGCTGTAGACCTGTAGTGGTTGAGGCTTGACCTCTTCTGCGGAGCGAAAGTCCCACTGCACTTAAGCAAAGAGCTTTGGGGTTTAGGGAAGTTTGGGGTTTAGGGTTTAGGGCCAAGTTTAGGGAAGTTTATAGGGTTCAGAATTTGGGGGTTTAGGGTTTAGGGTTCAGGGAAGTTGAGGGTTTAAGGGTCCGTGAAATGAGCCAGTTGTCGGTGCGCAGGCACCTTCCTGAACTCCGAGGTTATGTCGGGCCCTTAGGTTTTGTTTTTTGGGGTTGTGGTTTAGGGAAGTTTAGGGTACATAGGATGTCGGCTTTTAGGGTTGTTTAGTCTTTTTGTTGGGCTTTGCGGCTTTAGGGGGCTGGGTTTTTGCGTTGCTGGGGCTCAGGGTTTATGGGGTGTTGGCGTTCACGGTGTTTAAGGTTAACGGTTCAGGGCGAAGCCCAAGCGTCTTTGATGCTACATCCTAAACTCTCGTCAGGATTGCAGGCTTATAATTTATGCAAGTTTTGCGTGACCTGACGTGACACAGTTTTCCTGGCGTTTTGCAGCGAAGGCGTTTGGCCGCAGCCCACAACGGTTCAGCTGCAACCCTAAACCCAAAGTCTTGAACCCTCAAGCTTAAGCCCCTAATCTCTAAACCTCAAGTCTTGAACTCTCAACCATCCCCAGAGAGCCCAGTACCCCTTAAATACTATTCCTTATACCCGAAAATATAGGGGCCTTAATACTTATGATTCAAGGCATATTACATGATAAAGGGGTATTGGGCTCTCTTGGCCTTGCTTATGAGCCCAAGTTCCCAGGGCCAAAGAGACGCCAACCGTGGAAGTCGCGGTTCCCGTGCTACCGATCGCGAGGCCACGAGTTCTCCATGAAGCCCGGCGGGGCCAGACAGGGTTCCCTAAACCATATGGGTGGTTGTCAAAATGATGGTCCCGTTTTGGATCCTTATTATAATACGGCACCTATTATTGAGGGTACCCCAAAAGGCCATAATTTTGACAACCATCCATATAACCTCTTAAGTCAAGGGGTTTATAGGGTTTAGGGTTTAGGCCTCAAGGGTTGAAGGGTTTAAGGGGTAATGGTAAAGGGAGCCCTGTCCGGGTTTAGGGTTTAGGGTTTAAAAGCTTAGCCCCCTATCCAGGAACTGGGTTTCACAGCCAGAACTGGCGGAGGCTTCTGGTGAACTCAGAACCTGCTGTAAACCTTAAGCCGGCCAGTGCGGAATCATTCAGCTAACTCTTGACACCGTTGCAAACTCTAGGCTTAGGCCCAGAACCCAACAAGCAGACTGAGAAAACAGAAGAACTTAGTTCTTCCAGAGTTGAGGGTTTAGAGTCTATAGGTTTGCACGGCCCGATGTGTCCTAGGCTTTCAGATGTCAGGCATTCAATAATTTCATGGATTATGTGCTAGGTTTAGACCCTTATAAACCCTAAACCCTAAACCCTAAACTAGTATTTAGGGAGCCAGGTTTAGGCTCGGGGCTCTGGTACGTGTAAGGTTCAGTGGGCTCCAGACTATCGGGCTCTCTTCTTGGGGGTTCATAGCGGTTCAAGCTGCCTGGAACCGTATAAGGGGTAGACTCTGCACCCTAAACCCTCAGCCTTTGAGGTTGATGGTTGACCGGTTTACCCACAGGCCCCATAATTACCTTATAGGATTCTATATATGAACCCCCAAAACAAAAGGAACTACTTTAGGGCCTATGGGTAAGCCTGTCTTTGCAGGCCTGGTGGTGTGCAGTGGCGTGCTGCAGTGTGGTGGCTTGACTGCATCGCCGCAACAACTATGATGTTTGAGGGTTTAGGCTTTTGGCGGCTTAGGGTTTGGGGGAAATTAGGTTTAGGTGTGGGTAGTCGTCGCCGTAGATCTTCGGAACCCCAAAAGAGGCGGCACCCCAAAACAAAAAAAAATCACCCAGAAGGGATCCTAATTTAGAACTTCCCACAAGCGCCCTTACATCGCATGCGTCCCTGCAACCAGCCGAGCTTCGAATCCTCGAGCTTCCCAGACCTTCCAATATCCCTTCATTACGGGATATACCTTGAATCATATTAGGGATCCTACTGTAGTAGTTTGGGGTTGAGGGTTTAGGGGGGTTTAGGGTTTAGGGATCCTACTGTAGTTTAGGTTTGGGTTTAGGGTTTATGATCCTGCTAGATAGTTTAAAGCATATCCCTTAACTTACCTGATATTGGAAGGTGTGGCTTCTCGTCATCCTGTGAGGCCGGTGCCCAGCTCCCAGCGCTCTGGCAGCCTCGGGCCCAAGACGGGACATCCAGGGCCAGGAGCCTGGGGGGGACGTCAGGGATGGGAGTCCTCGGTCCAGCCACTTTCAAAAGCATCCTGTGCAAAAGGTTCCCTAAACCCTTACAGCCTAAGCCCTAAACCCTAATCCCTACATCCTAAGCCCTAAACCCTACATCCTAAGCCCTAAACCCTGGACCTCATGCGAGAGAAAGGGGCTACTGCATTTTTTAAAAAACCCCTAAACCCTAAACCCTTAAAACATGACATGTCTTACATGGCTCTTGATCCAGCTAGTAGTCCATCAGGCCTTACACGTGTCTGCCGCCAAGTGCGTGGCAACGGCACAAGAGCCCTGAAACACCCACTGGGGCGCGCAACATGTCGAACTCTGCGATGTAGTCGTCAAGAAGAGGGCTCGTAGCGTAAGACATCAGCGGGGATCTTGAACTGTCGGGAAAGTTCTTGCTAGAGAGCCCCAGTAGGTTCCTCGAGACCATGAACACACCACCAGAACCTTAAAAACCCTAAGCCAATCCAGGAGCTTGCAGCACTGGCGGTGACACCTCGACGATTGGTACCACACCGCTTTCCGGGGCGGGGGCCTCTGGCAGCGTGGTTTTCTGGCGTTTTAGGGCTTAGGGGGGACGCCGTGGACGCTTGTTTGTTCTTTATGGGTGGACGCTTGTTTGTTCTTTAGTGTAGGGTTTAAGGTTCAGGGCCGATCTAGGGTTCAAAGTTTAGAGCTCTATAGACAGGGGTCGCATTTTGTGGGGCCTTGAAGCCCACACCCCGTGCAGATTCGCTTTCATTTGTTTTCTTCCGTCCCGGGTACAGCATGTAGGGGGCCAGTCCAGCGCGTGATGATGACCGTGCATTTCAGGCCCGAAACGCCACTGTTAACCCGACTTTCCCTTCAACAACCCTATGTAAAGCCGAAGAAGCCCCATATTAACAAAAATACCCAGACCTTATGTTACGAATCCTACACCCGTACTATAAGATAAGCCTCAAGCCGTGTTCTATGAATAACCGTAAATGCTCTCTTATAAACCCTTAACCCGAACAGACCGTGTAAGCCCCAAGAGCACCGAGCCATTCCTCCCTGAGTTACCCTTCAGCTGATTCTTTTGTAGCCTGGGTTTGTAGGGCTTAGAGCTTAGGCTTCAGGGTTTGTAGGGTTTGGGATTTAGGGTTTAGGGCTTGTAGGGTTAAGGATTTTAAGGTTTAGGGCTTGTAAGGTTCGGGATTTAGGGTTTAGGGTTTACTGTAGGGTTCGTATTGCTGGGGACCGCAAATCTTAAAGCCCATGTGAACGGCAGGTGGCCGTGAACCACACAGCCGCTGGGGCCCCGGAAATGGCGAGGAGTTGGGGTTAGGCTTTAGGGAAAAATAATTGGATTTGGGTGGTGGGTTTAGGACTCCGAGTGTGCTTGTGGCCAGCTTTCCATATCCGCAATTCGTCAATCCATGCGCTACATGGCAGCAATGTTCGATTTTGGCAACTTTCCGGTGCGGAGATTTGGACCATGTATACGGTTAAGCTTGTGGGACAAAGGCTTGTTAATTACTAGTTGTCCGTAGGTTGTCCTAGTATAATATCGTATAGATATCTCGACAGTCATAGTCGGGTTTAGGCTCAGCTGTGGGATGCGAGCCATGGCCCCTGCACCCCACACCTGAAAGTCCTATCGCAGACGCAAAAGCCTAAGATTCCCAAGATCCCAGACCTTGTTTTAAGACCCTAAACTCTCAGCTGAAGCTCTTCTAAAGCCTGGACCGGACCCAAAACCCGACACCCTAAACCCTAGCCCTATGGCCTAAGGCCTTGCACCCCGGGCAGCCAAAGGTGATCCGTGACCCCACTGAAGTGCCTGCGACTCAGTCCTTCAGCTGCGATGTGTGTGTGTGTGTGTGTGTATATATATATATATATATACGTCTGTGCGCAGTTGGTCAGCGAGATAGGGTCTTACAGGCCTCAAGGTCTTCAAGGTCTGTGTAGTGTTTGGATGCCCACAGGTAGGACAGAGGTCTGAGGCTTCTGCAGCTTGGCTGAACGGTGCGGGGACACAGCCCCTGGCACACGGCGGTCCGGTATGTTTCCGGCTCAAGCTGCCTCCGCTACTACTCCAGACAGGGTAAAATGTTCGACCAGCCACAGTGATGCGAGAAGTGGAGTGTGCGAGAAGGAAGAGGGGGAGGCTGAGTGGCCGATGGAACGGCCTGGTTGTGGGTCTGATACTGGTATGCTGTGTTTGGCCCGGCATCAGCTTAGAAGGTCTTGCAGCTGCGCCTGAGATACCCCGCACCCTATCTGCAAGTCTGGGCGACACATTGCAGGAAGTCCGAAGAAAAAGCAAAGATCTCCGAAAGGAGCTGCAGAAGACTCCGTGGCCAAAGCTGAAGTGTTTTGCCGCAAATGGGTGTGTCCACAGCCTGCCTCTGCGAGCCGTGAGCAGAGAGCCGTCGCATCGGCCGGCGAAAGCCAGGCTGGAGTACTTGGCAGGCTTCTTCGACGGGGATGGCTGCGTTAGTTGTGTGACGGGCATGTCCGGATGCAAGTTGAAGGTGTCGCAGTCTTGCGACCAGGCGGAAGTTCTCATGCTCCTCCGCGAGACATTCGGTGGGAGTATCGTGAGCGAACGCGATGGCATGGGTTTGGGAAAGCCAGTGCTGCGGTGGCTGGCATGCGGCCCGTCAGCCCGAAGGGCAGCTGAGCTGCTTGCACCACACAGCATCACCAAGCAAAAGCAGCTCTTGTTGGCGGCCCGATGGCCCGATTCAAAAGGCCGCCGAGAGGAGTGCAAAGCCAAGCTGCAAGCTCTTAAGAAACACGATTCAGCGGTTGCTGGGCCGTGCAGCTGGAGCTACTTGGCCGGCTTCTTCGATGCAGAGGGATGCATATCGCAGCCGAGGGGAGGAGCCTCGCTGCAGCTGCGGATCAAGCAAAAACATCCGCGAGTGCTGAATTGCCTTTGCCAATTTTTGACTAGAACTCTACACGTTGACGCAACGATTGCGGAGGAAGGACAGTTCATGCACGTCCTCTGGGTTTGTGGCTTGTATAGGTGCCAGCGGATACTGCAACTGATGTTGGGCGCTGGACTATTGTGCGAAGCTACATCCGCACAGCTGGCTGTAGACCTGACTTCAGAAAACGCAGAGCAAATCAACACCGAGCTTCGACGACTGACTGGAAATCAAAAGTTTGGAAAGCGGCTGGATGCAGCTGGCCGTGAAAGGGCGAAAACTATTCAGAGTGCAAGGAGGCAAGCTGGCATTTTGAAAGGACGAGAGCAGTTTGCCGAAGCTGCAGCCAAGCAGCGGCAGCTTGCCGAGCTCAAGCAAGATCACAAGCTGCGGCAAGCCCGTCTTGAAAACAAGCAGCTGTTTGAGTACCTTGGCAAAGTTCAGGCATTGCACGATAACTCGTGGAAAGGACCTCGTGCCCACGAAACATCTGCAAGGCGGACCTAACAATCAACTGTCCTGCTGCAGCATTCAGTGAAAGTATAAGGCATACTTCCCCAGACCCTCGAAGGATACTCCTGCTGAGCGATTGCCAACCGACAAAGCTCCGTCATCTCTGGAGACTCTGGAGTGCTCGAGCGATATTATTATGACTAATAATGATAATAATAATAATAATACTAATAATAAGAAATATGACTATGATTACCATTGTTTCTACTAGTCCGACCATTTGCGACTACTGTTATTGCGTTTTTTCATTCACCAACATAGTATACCCGAAGAGATTCCCTGAAGGCGACCCCTGGAAGAGCCACGAGTGGAGCTAGGCATGGCCAGGAGTAGTTTCCCCTTAGTGTATACATAACATCTATATAACATATATATATATATATGTGTGTGTATGTGTGT